ATTCTAAAGGCTTGCTGAAGTGGCTGGATTCGGCTCTGTCTTAGTCTTTTCGTTGTATAGAAAAATATGTGACAAGTGTGAACTTATTTATGATGACTTATGGTCTGGTATGTGGATTTCTTTGGGAGAAATCTTTGACAAACATGAATCGGCACGTGAATCGACCAGGATCCGGGAACAAGACTTGGAATGACACTTCCTCGACATCTCACAATGCTGACAACTCAGCTTGCCAACCTGTTCAATTCGGTGTGAATCCACTCACATTACCTCAAACAACTGGCAGCCGTTCTTCTCAAACTCGACGATCAACGGATAGCTTGCCCAAAAAAACTCCATGGAACGTCCGCATATTTACATTCCCCCAAGACCTTCAAGAAAAGCCTCCAGCTCCAACTAATGGGTCACCTCGATATGGGTGTGTATCAAAAAATAAGGAGACCCCTTGGGTTTTAGTCGATTTTCCTTCTTCCAGGAAGTCGTTACCTGGGAGGTCTCCCAATTTTTACGCACACCCATAGGTCTCCTTTAGGTCATCCATTCCGTCCATTCTGTTCCTTTCCGGTGAGGAAAAACCGGTTTTGACCCATTCCTAGGCTTCGCCAAGTCTGCGAAGTCTGGACCTCCAATCCGCTCGACCTCCGCAACTCCCCCTCTGGCGGAGGTAGACGACCTCGATGCCTTTGGGCGAAAAGTCGCGGATCACCTGAGCGGATCGGATCGAATCGGATCGGATTGATCTACCATACCCCAGGTCACAAAGCAACATGTCTTGGCATCGGTGGATCATTGGATTGAGCTACTGTCTTAGAAACGATCCAGGTAGCTGCGAAACGAAAGGTGTTGGGAATTTTGATGGAAGAATCGATGGACTTGCTTCATAAGAGTTTTTGGCGGAGAAGCGCAGGAGGCACTCGGCCAGGGTCGCTCAAGAAGAGATTGGCTTGCTCCATACAGATCAAGAAACACATCTCAGAACCAGGTTGACGTGATTTAACCAGCGGGAATGTTCTTGGATCGCTGGGTATACATGGTGTTTGCTTCAGCATACTACTGGTTTGTCAAGATGATGAGAGGCAGTCTTTTCTGCAAATGGGTTATTGGGTCGTTTGCTTTCCCTTGTACTCCCTCCGACCGTCTGCGGCCTGGGCTCCCTGTTTTGAGACTAACTTTGTTCGTTACAATTAGTATACAGAGACAACAAAACAAAATGAGTCCGCTTTGTTGAGGACGAGAATTTGTGATTGTTTGTTTTTAGTTATTTTTATGTTTGTTCTTGTATCGGTTGTCTGCATTTTAGTTGACATCCTCTTAATCTGATTTAGAGGTTTAGCAACTTCAATTGTTTACAGTCTAGCAGGTTCGTGGGATTTGGACGTTAAAAGGTCTACCCCAAACCAATGTGGGACAGGACAGGATGAAAGTTGGGTCCTTCAATAACCTGCTTTATCATACAAACACCCTGGAAGTCAAGTCGACCATTTTTAAAATTGTTGACCTGGTTTTGTAGAGTAAAACCCTTAGTAAAACAATGGTGGTTCGGTAAAGGCTATTAAAACAATGGTGGTTCGACTTCTAGGGAACATACATCTAGCATACTGCCAAAGGAGCCGCTCCTGTGCGGCTCTTCACACTCAACATCGACACTCAACATCGACAACATTGACTTGGTTGAGTCAACACTAAACCACCACAATCTCTGCTGTAGATGACCATCTTCCAGAAAAGGATCGCTAAAGCCACATGGGAATGATGGACAATCTGTTCGATTCGTAGCTGTCCTTTACTTACAGGTCAAAGTCGTCAGGAATCTCGTCCAACCGTCAACCGTGACGTTTCAAACTAGTCACTCACTGGAAGTGCAGACTCAACCAGCTTAAAACAGGACAACTCTGCTCTGCCACCCACAGGATACCTTATGCTTCCCTGCCCAGCGGCCACCTGACGCTGTGTGTTTTCCTCAAACTCATGGCTCATCATCCTGAGTGTGTGTCGAACATCAAACAGTTGCTCAAGTCTCATCAGTGTCATCATCAACAACAACATATTATAATATTAACAAAACATATCCTCATCATGCACACTTTCAGCTAGTACTTTCCTAACTGTCATCAAACATAAAGGGACTAAAGCATACTAAAACAACAGTTTGTTCCGGTATTTGGTTTACTATAAGCATATTAGAGATTGGTTTGTTGAACGACTCCCATACGCATCTAAAGCAGCACTCCCCTAACCGTCAATAGGGATCACAGAACCACAAACAGTATGATTTCCTCTCACTGCCCAACAGATTGTCACGTATCAGCCGTACCAACGGCCGCAGTACTGGCCAAGCATCTTGTCAAAATACTCAGACCATGAGGACATGATCACGGACCAAACCTGAAAATCATTGGGCGTTCAAATCATGGCAGCATTGGATGTCGCAGGTCATGATTTGCCCACACTGGGACTCACCAACACGAAAGTGGATAAGTAGTCTTCCAAGACAATTGTTCACTTCCAAGACAATTGTCTTGTGAGGTTCGGGTTTCATCAAACTTGATCTTGTCTGAGGAGTCTTGCGTCACGTCCTCTACACATTGACATCCCATCAAATCTTGCGCGCACACACACAGTGTTGGAATGAACCATCTAATCCTCCAAAGACCTACCCAGCCATCCACCCATGGCACCCCTCACGCAACTCGTTTTTGTCAATCCAAATGGTTTTTGTGACCAAACAGCCCCGCGGTCGCCTTCCGCGTTTCACCGCCATGTTCTTTCGTGTCACGTCGCGCCAACCACACCAGGACAACGCCGCTCCGCCCCGCTCAGAGTACGTTTCGAGGCGAACACTCCGCGAGCTCCGCGCCGCCTTGAACTCGGTCCGGACCTTTTCGCCACTGGAGTCGCCCTCCAGCACCACCACGGTGAAGTCGCCGCTCTTGTTGAAGGAAAAGGCCAACTTCTCCGCCACCTGGTCCGGTCGGTGGCGGTCTCACACCCGTGTGGACACCGGCGTGGACCCTCGAGACACGTGTCGCGACAGCGCGAAAGTGTGAACCAACGGGGTGTGGCTCGCTCACTCCGCGGCGAAGAAGACGGGTTGGGAGGGGTTTGCGAAGAAGGAGGTTGGGAAGAGTGGCTTTGTTCGGGAACGTGTTTTTAGCGATGCTGGAATGGTGGGACGGCTTTGGTGTCTCCAACAACTCCAATGATTAGAACACAACTAGTTACAGGAGAAAAAAACGATTGAACAGGCCAAACATGCATCATGAGATCTGCTTCGTTTCGATGATTTTTTTTTTTTAAATCTGGCTTTTCACGCCCAAAACCCTAACCGGAACCGGAACGGCCGATGCGATCCGATGTGACCCGAAGTTATTGTTCACTCTTGCGGAGAAAGAAGATCCACATCTTCCCCAGTTTCGGGGGGATTGACCCAGTTCCGGGGAAAATGACCTAAATCATCTGGTCAATTTACCTGGTCAATTCCAAACGGACCTCGTACCTCGTCAGTCCTCGCTCGAAATTGCGCAGACATCATACAAAACAACCTGATCCGCAGGCTCCAGGTTTGGATGGATGAGATCAAAGAGCAGAAAAGCGCTCCTGTCTTTTTTGCGTGGCTCCCGCTGGAGATCGCATCTGACCATTGGTGAAGAGGAGTCGACACCTGCGTCTTTTCCATCTTTTCCTGGGTCTTCGTCTGACCGTTTTCCCTTTTGCCGCTGTTCCATCCCTTGAAAAACACACAGTTTGTTCACCGAATAAACTCCACCTGCTCGTGTTTTGTTTTGAGTGGGAAAACCCATCCCCTTAAGACAGTATTTTGTTTTTATTCTTTAGGTTCTCCACGTGTCCAGGTCATCAAGATCCATGTTCAGCAAACTCCGGAATCGTGGCATCGCCCATTTCAACCCAAGGTACACATTCCTTCTTCGTGATGTCCCACAGATTGGCCACTGCTACCGCCATTTCTGTGATTGTAGGATTGGTTTTAGCGGAATGTGTTGGTTTTCTACCGAGTTGTTAGTAAATGGTGTGTATTTCATTGATTGTCCATTTCAAGAGGGGCTGGGAACTTATCTACTTGATGGTGGTGTTGAACATTTGTACATGGATGCTTTTAATGACCATACCATATCTCTGATGTGAGGATTGGCCACCCGCTGGAAGCACCTGAAGCGAAAATTTACCGTGATCCAATGAGCGGTCAAAGAGGAGACTACAAGTAACTATGTAAGAAGAACTTGTCTTTGTCCGCAGAACATGGAACATGTATGAACATGTATGGCTTTGTTGTTTAGGGTAACCCATGTGCTGCGTTGTTTTTTCTTGCTTTCCACATCTGTCCTTCATTGGCGAGCATGGTGCATGGTGCTTTGTATTGGACAGCTGCCACGCACGCACAGCAGTGGGAAATTAAAGAAATTGCATGGAGAATTGCCTGTATGGCCAACATGCTACGCTAATACTTATGCCTTCTACATCAAGTCAATCAAGCGTCCCCCCCACACTCTGACCAACTATATAAGAGGTTGTTTCTGCATGCGGCTCCAGTGGCCTGTTCCCCAATGCCCCAAACAACGTTTCAATCGGGTAACTTAGGCCATTCGGCCATTCTTCACTGCAAGCCTCAAGCCTGTGGACCAAAAAACATCGACAATCAAGTCTCACAGGAGAATCAACTGAATTGAACATCTTGGTGTGCGAAGATGCAGCATCACCCAAAACCATGCCGGCATCTTCCAAACTGACGCGACTTAACACGGTGATGATGCTGCACGCGAAGGAAACCGGCGTGTGTCGAGTGTTCGGACCCAGACCCAGACCCAGAGCGTGAAGGACCCCAGGCTAAGCAAGATGCTTGATATGGCTGGAAGGAACTCAACCATCCGAACTGTCACACACCCTTGGAGCGGAACTCAACACCGTTGACGCGCGGTGGACACCGTTGAAATCGGTTGTTGAGACATGCATGCACAGCCATACAGTCACTGTCCGGAATGCGCCTGGGATTGTTCATCCCGTCCATCCATACTGGTTCGAGCCAGCCTGGCGATTCGAAAGAAGAGGGTTTCCCGCATGCTGAGTTGGTTCGGTCACGAACAAGCCTCCGAGCAGGGTCACTTAGGAACTGGAGCTGAACTCATGGAGGAGAAGCAGCTGACTCGGTGTCAGCTGGTTGAAGACAGGAGAAGATGTTTGGAGGCAAATAAGTACTATATGACCCATGACCACAACAATCTGACACATGGGTTCAGCATGTCGATCTAGGCATGTCTGAGACTGTCAACATGTCGAAACAGTCCCGGAACTGGAGACCAGAAACATGTTGTCATGAGCAGCGTTCTCACAATCTTAGTCCGCTTGCATAAGCCAACTCATCCTCTCTCACCGCTGCAATTGCAGCTTAACCAACTTAGATGCTGTAAATCCATTGCAAAACCTTAATCAACAAGTACGGGGCAGCGATAGGCCGCCAGGGTCTAGCTTGGATGGTCCATTGAACAGCCCAGCGAGGTCAGCTGCAGCCACCTTTTCGCCAAACTGTTGCACATGAAGCGTCCGTATCTTGAGTCATTTGCACTTCCAACGGATCCCAAACGGACGCGTTTCTGGCAGCGGACAGCTACTTCCATGGGTCCCTTGTGTGCCATGCATCATGATAGTCTACCCATGTGTCATGCCATGGGTCGAGCACACTGCCCTGTGGCCCCTCGCCATGCCACCACGATGAGCTTGGGATGGCCTCCCTCTGAGCTTCTGCGGTAAAGTCTTGAAGAAGACCTTCGAATCGGATCTCAGAGGCAAGGAGTCCAGCTGAGGGTGAGTTCACTTCTCCCCTGATGCACCTCACCAAAAAGTCACATCGGCATTGGATCAATTGGCCGGCTTGGATGCTACCAAAGGCTTGGGATGAAAAGACCTGCTGGTGCTTTCCATGTTTGATCCCTTGGTTGTGGTTGCCACACCACAAGCAGAAGTCCAAGTTCTCTAGTTGATCTGTCACTCGAAATCCCAACAACTTCAAAGCAAAGTGGGACGGCAACTTCCACTCCATCCACTCTCCTGTTCCAGTGCTTGAGCTGCAATATGGCTGCAATGCCAAGCGGCCTTCTAGGTCGACCGTGTGCTCCGTGACCGGTATTTTCCGGGGTTTTCGTGCCTTGAGGATGTTGAACTTCGGGTTCAACACAAAGGCTTTGATCTTCTCGCTCGGAACGCTTTGCAAGCAAACATACTTCTCAATCAACTCACGCCTGCTCAAGCAACCTTCACCTTCCTCCCAGCCCAGAAAAAGGTCGAACAAGACCTCATCCGGAATGCACATCAAATCGGAACTGAGCACTTGGTCCAAGAGATCTTCACTCACAAAAGGTCGCTTCCACAAAGCCACCTTGGGGCTGATGAGGATTGTATGCCTCACTTTGGCCATGCCGCCATGCCCGCAGCAGGGAACAGAACTTCACGTGTTGATGGATATTTGTTGTCTGAAGCTCCAAAAATACATATGACGTTGCGAAACGAAAGCAAGCCAAGAACAACAAAAGCAAAAGCACTCCTGGCGCCCTTTTGTTCCATGCAGGACCAAAAGACATCATCCAAGTCCAAGATGCATGGCCGCCTCGCGTAGGTCTCCTAGTTCAAATTGCTCCGCAGCCTTCAAGATCTCCCAAGCAGTTTCTGCATTCAACTCCTTCTTCAAGAGATCAAGACCTGGGCACCCGCGTGTGACGAGGATTCAGGGATTGGATATGACACCCAGTCGTCACTTCGACATCTTCAGGACTTTTTGGTCAGAGGCGTTGGCCCTTCGACATCTTCAGCTTGCTTGCTGACTGCTGACTATCACTCATGACGGACCCATCCAACATCATTCAACAGCATTCAACGGTGCCGTGTCTCAAAGGGGACACGGTCTCCCGGGCCGAGAACGCTGCTTTCTCGACGTTCGTATACGGATCTGCGGATCCCACATCGGCCTTGCTGATCCAGTGTTCCAGCGGCCCTCAGGGCCAGGTTTTCATGTTTTTCCAACAGGATTGAAGAACCCTATATAGACTATCCCAGGTTTTCCGGATCCTATTTACGGTCACAAAAAACCTCTCTGTGTTTTGCTCAGGAAAAAAAAGCACAGGTTCTTGGATGGGCCGTACGGGGCGTTTGGTTGCGGCCGTGTTTGATTCATGGAGTCCATCAGTTCCATGACATGGAACCGCTCCCATGGGCTCCCACTTGGCACGACCTCCGTTCCTGGCCGCATCCGACCCGGTTCGGTGGTCTTCGACCCGACCCCTGATGGCACCCCCAGAAAATAGTCCCACCGAACCGAAACGGAGGTATATAGTTGGAACCCCAGGGCTTCAGACTGACTAAGTCTGGACATGGGAAGCGATGAAGCTGAACTAGCATTACATGGAGTGCTTCACAGCGAACTGCGCATTCAGAATACAGGGTTGATAAATGTCACGAGCAAACAAAAAAAGAAAACACACAAAGAAGCTCGGACCCAGACACACCCAGCGTCCTCCTAGTTGTGTTGTTCTTTTTTCTGTCCTTTCACTAAAGACTCTCCTCGTGGAAGGGTCTTCCTTGCTCAATCAGGATGCCAAGAAGGGTGCCACAGAAAAACCCATCTTCACATGAATAACCGTCAGTGCCAAGACACAGTGCATCGCAAGGTCGAGTACTTGGTACTTGTCGGCGATGATAGCCACTTCTGCCAGAGTTTCCAGTTCGGCATTCAAGGTTCCGGAATAAAGGAAACCTTGGATTATGTCTGTCATGGACATCCAAACAAATAAATGTGCAACATAAATTCCAACAATTTGTCAGAAATGAACAACTATGGCAAAACAGTTTGTGAACAAACACCTGCAGTCTGAGGAACGCAAAAACGCCTCCACTCCCTGCGGTGAGAAATCTCGGATGACCTCAGTAAAGTGAGTGGGCTTGTTGAGATCGAGTCAGTCTAGGACAACCATGTTGATCATGTTGGCAATGCTCCCGCTCCCCTAAGAAAGAAACACTCGGGCCTTGGAAGCAACATCGTTTGGCTGTTCGAAGCCTGTCATGCTACCAGCGGTCATGAGTAGCACTGGTGTTTCTGCAAGCAAGTGTCAAGTTGAACATGAACATGCAGCACCAAAGAGAGGCAACTATATAACAAGATGCAAATGGGTTTTAGGCTTGAAATGAACGAATGATCCTTGCTCATTATGTTACAAGTGAAGAACTTTTGGGGAACTAAACAGTGCAGAACTCTTCAAACTACTCCGGCGAAGACAGGCAACTGTCAAGGGACCTTCGCGACAAGGTGGTCATCAATGGCTTACCCACTGAAATTGCTTGCCCAACATACACTCCAACTCGACATGGACCAGGACCCATTGGACCTCCTGAGGAGGGCTCTTCCTCTGACTCTACATTCAATGGCTTTTAGGGTCCAAATGGGTTCAATCTGCAAGCGAGTCGCAACTTGTCCTTTTGACTGCTCCTCAAACTCATAGCCCATCATCTTCTGAAAGACCTCTGACCACGCGCACAGGATCTCAGCTGAGACCTGCAACATGGAGAGAAAACGCAGCGCTTCTCAGACTGTGGGGGTACAGTCCCCTGACTGTTGCATCCAGAAAACTGCGTGACAGGGCCATGGGTATCTCAAAGTATCTTACAAACTCAACACAAAGAACCTTGTCCACTGGTCCATTGCATGAACCTCCTTTTACCTGCACACTAGCTGGATATGATCGCCAGCAGACCCGAAAGACTTTTGAACCGTAAGGACTTCTTCAAACTCTTGACAAACCCCCTTGGGGCTGGAAATGCTTCTTGAAAACTCTTGGCTTACTCCTGTTTGATTCCTGGAAGAAAAAAGCGCTTGGATGTTGCGATGCCTCGCTGCGTCTCAAATGCTTTGGTTCATAAGGGACAGTCTCCTAGACACGAGAGCTACTGAGTGCGGATGTCTTCTCAAGAATCAGAACTTGTTATGGCTCATCGTGCGTCCCCCTAGTACACTCCCTGATGAAAAGCTGTGGTCTGATTTCGATTAAAGCCTCAACAACTGGTCACCTATCGCCTTTCGAGGTGTCTAAATCGAAAGGGTTCTGATCACAGCGTCGAGGGGTGGAGCGTCGCGTGTGTGGACAATCCGAAGAAGGGATGGTCCAATCTCAGAGCATGTCAATCTTCCAAATCACCACAGGCTACACTCCGACGAACACATCACATGGAAGTGGATGGCACCCCCTGTTTGTAAAGGAAAATCGTCTTCCTTTCGGGGCCCTGCCATCCACTTCCATGTTAGTGAGCCATAGTGTACTACACCCAACTCCACCGGTGCCAACACGTGTGTTTCTGCCGCTTCGACCGGTTCCGCCACATCTTCGACTCCAGACTGCTGTCCCTTGTCCCTTCAAAAAAGGCAAAAAAGGGCTAACCTAACTTTCCATCTGTTCTTACCTCTCAAGCGAACGAGATTCGCAAGCGTGGAATACTCTGGATCGACCAACATGAACAAATATGGACAGTTTTTCAGGTTATCCACGTACTTCCTGGGCCATTCCTGGGTAGCTTTTTTATGTGTTTTCTCCTTTCCCTTTCCTGCCAGGTGCCGCCTTGAACTCGCTGTGCCAGCGATCGGAGCGATCTTCCACCACCACGGTAAAGCGGCCGAACGAGCGTCCGAAGGACGCCGCGAGCCGATCTGCTACCTTGGGGACGATTCGGGGACGATGAGATGGTCTGTCATGAGAGTCCCAAGAGACTCAGAGAGTGTCGAACGAAAATATAAACTAAAACAAACAAAATCGAGGTGCATCTAGCCTCCCAATGATGATTCTTGTGACAAGACTTTATTCAGAAACAAATCTATTAAACGTGGAGACGAGTTGGCATTAATTGAAGAATGGTTTGTATTGATAGACTTGAGGACAAAACTCAACTGATTTCCTCAGAACTTGAGCATCCGGTCTCGCATCCGGATGCGTCTGTGACTTGAGTTGGAGCTTGATGATCTGAACAAGGTCGAAGTGGATTCAGTCCCCCTT